TGGGGGAGGTGGGAAGGGTGATTTCTCACTTTCTGTCTCTTTGTCTCTCTGTCTCTCTGGAATGTGCACGTGCCCTATAGCAAAAATCTATCTCTAAAAAAATTTAAAAATCATTCCCCACACCCACTGCCTTCTATGGCAAACTCACATTGCAAACTCAGAGTGGCGCTAACTTTAGTGAATGACCAAAAGCCTCTCAAACGCCGCCTCTACCTTGAGGAGAGCCCGCTTCTTCAGAACAGTTTAGAAAACAAGGGCCACTCTGGATGGCTTCCAGTTGTCTCAGGTGGGAAGACTGAAGAGATCACATAACACCCAAGAATTACAGAAAGGTCAGGTCTTGGCATGTTGAGACCCAGAAAGAGATCCAGTGGGAAGGGGGAGAAAGAGTATGCTTGTATACGAAAGAAAGGAAAGGAAGAAATGGGCGTGGGGGTAGAGAGAACGATCAATTGGAAGAAGAGAGAGAGGAAGCCATTTGGTAGTGTAGACTCCAATCGGGCGGCTCAGCCCGAGTCCTCCAGGAACTAAGTTTGGGAATTTTGCCATTTGTGCACTGTTCCTTGAGGACACTGGGTGGCGCTCGTGGTAAAGACTTGCACTTCTCTTAGCGTTACCCCCTCCCCCCACGCACACACCTCGGAGCGCGCCTTTTTTTTTTTTTTTAAACCCCAGATTTCGGCTACTAAAAGATGAAATTACTCACATTCTTCGTACGTGTCTCAGTAGGGAGCGCACTGCTGAAAGAATTTGGTGCTAAGAGGCTGTTTGTCTGTAGCAGGGTCTGTCCTGGATTTTGAGAGGCAGGAGGTCTCAGGACAAGGGTCAAGGCCTTGGGGTCAGAACCACCCCAAGGTACTACCTACCAGCAGCAGTTGTGGGTCCGGGGGCGTGGTGGCGCCCGCCCTATGGCAAAAGTTGCTGGTCGGAAGCTGCAGCTAGGCCCACCACCGGGCTGGCAGTGAGCAGAACCAGGGGTACATTGTGAGATGACGCGAACAGACGGACAGACCCGTTACTTTTTTAAAAATCAGCACGACCTGTGCCTTTAAGTAACCAGCGGGAGGAGGGGGAAAGTGAGACCAATCTAGTAAAGAAACAGCAAAATCAAGAAATTCTCCAACCAGACTGGGTCTCACTCAGAAGCCGACTTTGCACAAACCGTTCAAGCCTGCATGGGGGCCAACTGCGTCAAGTTTTATGGATTGAAATAAAGAAGTCAAATTCTTTTTTCCCACCCCCACTCCTTCTGATATCTGATAAAATGTAGGGAGAAGTCTCTTTTTTGAGAGGCAAGGGGGCAGAGGTGACATTTAGCAAGATCTAGAACTAGCTTATCATGGTTATGTCACCTTCGCTTGGACCTCGAACTTACCAATTTTGCCCAGGCTTTGCGGCTTCCAATCCCATCCTGCCTGGAATCTGCCCTCTCAGAAAGGTGTAAGGGCATTGCTAGGAACACCCTGCCCAGCATGACAGCATTGACCTTTTCCCTCCATGGTGTAGCTCTTGAATCTTTATTGTACACTAAGTGTGGGGTTTGGAGGGACCAGTGGAAGGGCGGCCATCCTTCCTGTGCCCCTCGCCTTTCCCGGGAGTTGCTTGGAACGGTCCCTGGCATTGACTCGGGGAAGCGATTCCTGCCATTGGAAGGCAGCATGTATGTAAAGTGACTGGACGGGTGCCAAGCGCTTCTCCAGTGCAGTGTCCGGGGCCAAGCCCTGTGGGGTCTACGGTGTTTCCTGGCCGCCCAGTAGCTCCTTACAGTCTGAGTTAGACCGTGAACTGTCGCGCAGAATTCAAGCGCAAGGAGTCAGGGCTGGAGCGCGTTGGCCCCTGGGGTGACCCCACCCCTGTTTCAGAGAAGTCCTGGGCTGCAGGCGGATTACTGGAGACCCGGGCCAGTCAGAGAAAGGGGGCGCTGCGCCCACACCTCGGAGCGCGCCTTTTTTTTTTTTTTTAAACCCCAGATTTCGGCTACTAAAAGATGAAATTACTCACATTCTTCGTACGTGTCTCAGTAGGGAGCGCACTGCTGAAAGAATTTGGTGCTAAGAGGCTGTTTGTCTGTAGCAGGGTCTGTCCTGGATTTTGAGAGGCAGGAGGTCTCAGGACAAGGGTCAAGGCCTTGGGGTCAGAACCACCCCAAGGTACTACCTACCAGCAGCAGTTGTGGGTCCGGGGGCGTGGTGGCGCCCGCCCTATGGCAAAAGTTGCTGGTCGGAAGCTGCAGCTAGGCCCACCACCGGGCTGGCAGTGAGCAGAACCAGGGGTACATTGTGAGATGACGCGAACAGACGGACAGACCCGTTACTTTTTTAAAAATCAGCACGACCTGTGCCTTTAAGTAACCAGCGGGAGGAGGGGGAAAGTGAGACCAATCTAGTAAAGAAACAGCAAAATCAAGAAATTCTCCAACCAGACTGGGTCTCACTCAGAAGCCGACTTTGCACAAACCGTTCAAGCCTGCATGGGGGCCAACTGCGTCAAGTTTTATGGATTGAAATAAAGAAGTCAAATTCTTTTTTCCCACCCCCACTCCTTCTGATATCTGATAAAATGTAGGGAGAAGTCTCTTTTTTGAGAGGCAAGGGGGCAGAGGTGACATTTAGCAAGATCTAGAACTAGCTTATCATGGTTATGTCACCTTCGCTTGGACCTCGAACTTACCAATTTTGCCCAGGCTTTCCTGCCTGGAATCTGCCCTCTCAGAAAGGTGTAAGGGCATTGCTAGGAACACCCTGCCCAGCATGACAGCATTGACCTTTTCCCTCCATGGTGTAGCTCTTGAATCTTTATTGTACACTAAGTGTGGGGTTTGGAGGGACCAGTGGAAGGGCGGCCATCCTTCCTGTGCCCCTCGCCTTTCCCGGGAGTTGCTTGGAACGGTCCCTGGCATTGACTCGGGGAAGCGATTCCTGCCATTGGAAGGCAGCATGTATGTAAAGTGACTGGACGGGTGCCAAGCGCTTCTCCAGTGCAGTGTCCGGGGCCAAGCCCTGTGGGGTCTACGGTGTTTCCTGGCCGCCCAGTAGCTCCTTACAGTCTGAGTTAGACCGTGAACTGTCGCGCAGAATTCAAGCGCAAGGAGTCAGGGCTGGAGCGCGTTGGCCCCTGGGGTGACCCCACCCCTGTTTCAGAGAAGTCCTGGGCTGCAGGCGGATTACTGGAGACCCGGGCCAGTCAGAGAAAGGGGGCGCTGCGGGATACCAAGTTCCCTGCGAGCGCCTTGCGCTGTTTCCCTCAAAGGAAATGCGATAGCAGTTATGGTTTTATGGCGTCCAGAAGGCACCCCTGGTGCACGTGCGGCTGCTCCTGGAACTTTGGAGTTCCAGGGAAAGGCTGACATCAGGTTTCTTGTTCCAGACACCCTAGCTCTCGCTGGCGGCCTGTTTGGGGACAGAGTGGTTCTGTAGTCACACTAACCTGAACCAGCGCTAGACCCATTTCCCTTGAAATGGGGGCGCACCCAATAAACGGAGTGGGTCCCAGACAAGGCAAATGCTTTATTTTTCGATGGTGGGGGGCAGACTTCACCACTTTGGATATCCGATGAAGCTCCAAGTTTTCTGGTCTTGGTTCCCCTTAGAGCAAGAGGCACACCCGGCCAAGTCAGGACACAGTTCTTGGAGACGCCTGTTTGAGGTAAGTTGGACATGAGGAGCAGGAAAGCCATGTTAGATTTCTAAGCTCCCAGTGGATCCCAACTAGAGCAAAAGTAACACATCATAAAAGCAAACTCCGGACCTTGTGTACTAAAGCATGATTCTTGGGCCTTTTCTCTCCTTACATATGAGCCTAGGAAATGAAGGAGTGAGGGAACAGAGACCCAGATTCGGGAATGAAGGGGGCGGGGTCTTAGGACCGTGTACTCAGGAGGGGAAAATGCATGGGCATCATCCAACTTTTCAAAAGGCTTTCATCTTCCCCTATTCTCCATATTGGTGGTGCTCCCCCTAGGTCCTGGAGAAATGACTTGCTTGAATCAATTTGCTTTTGCAGGACAGAGAGTTGCAGACCCTTTATTCCATGCTTTCCAAATAGACAAGAGTGTAGAACAGAAGTGGGGCGCGCTATTGGCTCTTCTTGGAAACCAGCAATGGGAACTTAGGTGTCAGTTAAGTTATTTGTGCTTAAGATAATAATTTTTTAAAGTCACTCTAAGGACTTTGGACGATAGGAACTTTTTGTGCCATTAACAGCGGGCATTCTCAAATATCCTTACCCAGCCAGTGTTTGAGAGAGACTCATCTCCTACAAAGGAAGTGTCAGCTGCCCATTTGTCTTTCCCCTAATAGCTCGTTTTCAACACATGTAAGTTACAACTTGCTTACCCACATCTCACTTTTAAAACGCTGTTCTTGGTTCCTTCTCACCTTCATTTTCCAGTCCCCTAAATCCCTCTCTTGACTACTCATTTCAGGGTCAACCCTCAGTTACACGCCTGCCCCTGAGCCCTCCTTGCAGCCCAGGGGCGCTGGGAGGTGACCAGTGAGGAAAGATCGTCGCTGATCTCTTCCTCAAAACATGTGCACTATTGAGGCTGCTGATTGGAACACATTTGTCTCCAGACATCACAAAACTGGGTGCTGGGACTTCTGTGTCGTCTTTGGTATTCACTAAAAACAGATTGGCTAAGACTCCCCCCCCCAACAACCAACAAAACACATACACACGCGCGCGCTCACGCACACACACACACCCATGCGCTCTCGCTCTCTTGCTCTCTCGCTCGCTCGCTCCCTCGCTCGCTCGCTCGCTCGCTCTCGTTCTCTCTCTAAGCAATGCTTTGTTGTGCTAAAACTAGTTGGACGAGTTAGGGTGTTGCTGCTGCTCCCGAGGCCCTGGCCAATGGAACCCGATCCACCCCGCTGTGCGTAAGCGCGCAATTAAGGATTTAACCAAGGCTGTGCTGCGCCTCAGCCAGCAGTCAGCCTGGCGGAGACAGAGCCTCCACGACTCCTCTCACAGCCCTGGCTGCTTAGAACAGAGCAGCCCCACAGCCAACTCAGGCAGCAGCCGCCGCCACAGCAGCAAGGACAGCTGCCCTCGCCGCCTGTGAGCGATGACAGGAGTGTTTGACAGAAGGGTTCCCAGCATCCGATCCGGTGACTTCCAAGCTCCGTTCCAGACGTCCGCAGCCATGCACCATCCGTCTCAGGAATCGCCAACTTTGCCGGAGTCCTCGGCCACCGATTCCGACTACTACAGCCCCACGGGGGGAGCCCCTCACGGCTACTGCTCTCCTACCTCGGCTTCCTATGGCAAAGCTCTCAATCCTTACCAGTATCAATACCACGGCGTGAACGGCTCCGCCGGGAGCTACCCCGCCAAAGCTTACGCCGACTACAGCTACGCCAGCCCCTACCACCAGTACGGCGGCGCCTACAACCGCGTCCCGAGCGCCACCAGCCAGCCAGGTACGGGGTCGGGGACTGGGGGATGGGAGGAAGACAGAGGGGGGAACCTCCCTGCAAGTGCAGTGGTAGATGAGGGGCCACGCTATCCCTTGAAATGGGGGCGCACCCAATAAAGGGAGTGGGGTCCCAGACACGGCAAAGAGGTTCTCAGGCCAGTATATCAGGGATTCTTAATGGAAGAACCTTGCAAGAATTCGTACTAGCATCTCTTCCCTCCCGCACCTTGGCACCTTTGGGGCCCTTCAGTCGCAGGATTCTCAGTTTACCTGGCCAGGAAGCCAAGCTAGGTGGAAATGACTAGGGGTGGAGGGTGGGGGAAATCAAGCAGCCTCAATGGCGTTTGAGAAATAAAGTGGAGGCTAGTTGGAACTTTCGGTAAGCGTGCTGGGTTGGTGCGGATAGGAATGAAACACTGCCTCAAAGACTCAGTCGGGATTAGTCTGGGAGCCACCGCAAGTCAACGTGATGTGGGTGCCTGTAGCCCGAGGGACGTGGTGGTGGTGGTGGTGGGGGGGTGGTGGTTCGGGAGCAGTAGCCCGCCCGCTAGAGGAAGAGCGCGCTGAGAGTTGTGCGGTTTATCCAAGGCATTTCCAAAAACAAAAAGCCATTTAAAAGTGGAGGAGGGTTGTAGAGGGGTCACTGTTGTTGGAGGGATTTTTTTTTCTCTCTCTCCTTAAGTGCCTAAAATTTGTCTTCCTCCTCCCGCCTACTTTCTTCTCTTTAGTCCACCTTGAAACTTAGTTGGAGAGTTTAAGAGGGTTTGTGAGCTTGGGCGGTAAGAGGTCTCTGTGCAGAGGTTTTACTGGTCCGGTTTGATCTCTTCCCACCAACACATTAATAATCCTGCTAATATTAGCATCCCCTACCCTGGCAGAATTGAAACCGCAGCTCTCATTCTCCACCCTTCCTCTCCCAGGACACACGCGCGCGCGCGCGCGCACACACACACACACACACACACACACACTCCGCCCATCCCACAGACGCGGTAGTTTGGGGGAAGGGGGTCTTGTAGCCCCAGGACACGTTTGTAAAACACGCCCGTTCAGAAGACAGCTCCCATCCCCTCCCCTCCATACTTAACGACATTGAGAAATTTGTCCTGACCTGCCGCCCCTTTCCTACGAAAACACCCCTTTCCTTTTCAATGTGTGGCTCTTACTGAATTTTTTAAAAGAGCCCCGGGGAGGGGTGTCTTCGTTCCTTTCACTGTCTCTGTATTTTGTGCATAAGTGGAAGATTTTTTTCTTTTGGCCAAGAACATATTAAGTCTATTTGTAAAAGAAACCAGACACATCTGTGCCCTCGCAGATCAGCAGCAAGATTATGGGGGCTGCATAATCGGCCCTCTGTCTGCGGCGGCCCCGACCGCTTGCTGCTGAAGTGAAGGAGCATAGTTTGCTTGTGGGTCTTTGAACTTTGGAGACCTCGGTTAGCGTCTTCCCTGCCCAAGCGTCTGGCCTCTGCGGGCGCCCGAACAGACGCCGACAGAAGCGGGGTCATGGCCTGAGGCCTCCCTGTTGAAGCCCTGGGAGGGATTGGCTGCTTCACCCCAGAAACACAGGGGAGTCCAGGGTAGGCGTACAAAACAAGTCCCAAGTCCCGAAGCAATGGGAAACGCCGCAAGGACTGAACCCTGGACGCCAAGAAGGAAGCTTACTGTACAATACGCTTTACACAAACCGTCTTGAGTGAATGGAGTGGGAATTGATCAAACAGCTGGCTCTTTCTCCTTTTTGGGGAGGAGCATATTTCCCTGGGTCTTGAAAAAGCCAAGCAGTGATATGGGGAAAGAAGGTGAAGACTGCATGCTAAGAAAGTCGAGGACTGATTTTGAGGCCTTTCCACAAATGGGCGATCGCCTGGGGACGAGCTCTAACCGAGTCTGTTTTGATTATTTAGAGAAAGAAGTGGCCGAGCCCGAGGTGAGGATGGTGAATGGCAAACCAAAGAAAGTTCGTAAACCCAGGACTATTTATTCCAGCTTTCAGCTGGCCGCGTTACAGAGAAGATTTCAGAAGACTCAGTACCTCGCCCTGCCGGAACGCGCCGAGCTGGCGGCCTCGCTGGGATTGACGCAAACACAGGTAAATCCGGCTGCAGCCGGACACGAGCCCCGCCTCGAAGCAAGCCTGGCTGGGCCGCTCGGTTCGGTCCCAACGGACTAGAACCGACTCGGTAGTTACTCCCGGCAAATCACATACAGGCAGAAAGACGACGGCCCCTAAGCCCTTCCCTGCGTGTCAGGCCAAGGGCTGGCGCTGTGTGACGGTGGGGATGAGATTCCTACTTTGTCCAGAGATGCCTCCCGCCTCCGGCTCGAGTGGCAGGGGGAGGGCAATTTCCCAGGTCGGAAACAAAAGCAGGGTTATTTCTAGGACAGTCTTGCAGCCTTGAGAAATTGTCTGGTTCTCTTCACAATGCGGAAGCTCCCAAGGCGAGCAAGTGCTGGCGGCCTTGCGGCGATCTCAAGCCACTCAAAGGCTGAGAACGTGGCCTGGAGCGGGAGAAGCTGCAGGACAGTGCTCTGCTCCTGGGGCAGCTTTAGGCCGCAGCTGCCTGGGAAGCGCAAGGTGGGGGGCGCTCACGTATGGCAAAATCTTCCTGGGTTGTCCCTGTCCTTCACTCCCACTCGGCTAGAGGAGCCTTGAGGGCCTAGAGGAGCAGAAAGAACGTTCCAGCCGCAGCCGAGAAGTGCAGGCGGATTCTGGCCTCCCAGTGCTAAGGAGGGGGAAAGGAGTAGGGCGGGAAGTTGGGAGATCTCGCCTTTTCCTCAACAGACCCGCACGCATTCCTGGGCCCTGAGCGAGTCGGACCGTTGTTTTGGAGACCTGGGCTCGGCCAGCTCTGAGCGCGCGGCGCGGGCCTACACGTGCGCACACAGGGCGTGGACACTCAGTCACCAAGCTCCCAGCCCCTCCCCCAGCCAAACAAAAGACAAATGCCTTGGGGTCGTGCCCTCGCTGTGGCCGGTGCGTGCTGAGCGGGCCTGGATGCCCTCTGGGGTCCGCACTCAAAGCTTTGCGGCAGGTCGGCCCCTTAGCCCTAGGCGTGAGCTGCTGGGAGTCGCCAGCGCTGGCCGCCTAGGGGCCCGAAAATGCCTCCAACAGTCCTGCAGTCGTCGCCACCCCAGGGAAGGCTCGGGCGACCTCTGAGTGTCCCGGTAACGTGTGCCTTTGTTCCCCCCACCCAGGTGAAAATTTGGTTTCAGAACAAAAGATCCAAGATCAAGAAGATCATGAAAAACGGGGAGATGCCCCCGGAGCACAGTCCCAGCTCCAGCGACCCTATGGCGTGTAACTCGCCGCAGTCTCCGGCGGTGTGGGAGCCCCAGGGCTCGTCCCGCTCGCTCAGTCACCACCCTCATGCCCACCCTCCGACTTCCAACCAGTCCCCTGCATCCAGCTACCTGGAGAACTCAGCTTCCTGGTACCCAAGCGCAGCCAGTTCAATCAATTCTCACCTGCCGCCGCCAGGCTCCTTACAGCACCCGCTGGCGCTGGCCTCCGGGACTCTTTATTAGACGAGCTGCTCTCTCTTGCTCTCGGTTTGTTTTTTGTTTTTTGTTTTTGTTTTTGTTTTGTTTTGTTTTGTTTGGGACTACTGTGTTTTGCTGTTTTAGAAATTCATAAAGGAAAAAGGAAAGAATTCTTACGGGGAAGTTTGAAAAGCGGAAACAAAAGATTCATGTGTAAAGCTTTTTTTGCATGTAAGTTATTGCATTTCAAAGGACCTCCTCCCCCGTTTTTTACAGATGAACTTTTTTGCGCAACTGTGGACACTATCAATGGTGCCTTGAAATCTATGACCTCAACTTTTCAAAGGACTTTTTTCAATGTTATTTTAACCATGTAAATACGTGTAGATAGAGGAATTAAACTGTATATTCTGGATAAATAAAATTATTTCGACCATGAAAGCAGAATGTTTTTGGAAAAATACTCCTTTTTGCCCCTCTTACACCTTGGTAGCGAAGGATTATAGGCAATTAGAGAAAGTCAAGCTTTGCAGAGACCCAACAAAGCAAAAGAAAACAGGAGTTAGGAGCTTCATGGATGCATAACTATATATGTGTATATGTCAGATGCTGTCCTTTCTATGTCTACATACTTATGAGACCTTTTATAGTATTGCCATACTATGTGGCAGTACTCTCTCTCTCTCTCTCTCTCTCTATATATATATATGTATATAGATGTATATATATATATGTATATAGGTGTGTATATATATGTATATAGGTGTATATATATGTACATAGGTGTATGTGTATGTATGTATGTGTGTGTGTATATATATATATATATATATATATATATAGTTTTTTGGCCTTACCACACACCAAAAAAGTTTAGATAATTTTAATTTTAGCCCCAGATTGTTTCAGGTAGAAAGTAATGCCGCAATCTAAATACATTCTCCCACCCTGTATGTGAGTAAGGCAGCAGAAATCCTTCAATAACCTCTCTGAATTCTAAGCTCAAAGCAATTATGGTGGTGAACTGCTTCCCCCATCAGCCTCTGTGTATTGCCAGAGCAATTAGACAAATTACACTCCCTTCAAAGGGAGCTTCCATAGATGAGAAAATGAAAAGAAAGAAAAAAAAGAAATCTCCGCTCATTCCTATTACGTTCTTTTAAAAATCTGACATCTTTGGGGAATGGCAAATGGTAGAGCCTTGGAGTCCTTGGGCATGTGATTATAAATTTGAACTCTTTCAGAGAGAGGAAAACACATCAGGGATTGAGAACAATGATGAACCTAAATCAGTAGACCAAGGGTAGGTGGGGGCATTTTTCTCTCTCCTAGAGAAGACGTTGTTGAGATCAGGGACTGGAGGCTGGGGAAGGAAGTGAAAGCATTGTGACTTTTGTGTTTATTTCATTTCGTGTGAGACAATATTCTTAATGTGCATTTCTTTCTCCATCCTTTTTGCTACCCTGTGGTTTTCTTCTGGAAGGACCTCCCTTTACGTTGCTTTTACATAAAACAGCAGCAAAGCAGGTTCCAAGCATCGAGGACCAGAATCTGCAGGGATTTCTTCTTCCGAGAAGGCTTCTTTGGGACAGAAAGAGACTTGATGCAATGGTGGTCATGTTCCCCTTATCGTCTCACCTCTGCGCTTAGATAGCAATAGTTTGACTAGAGCTACATCTTGGGTCTACAGCTATGCCCCCAGGCTCAAATCGTAGTCGTCTTTTCTGGCTGGCTGTCCTTCAGTCCTCCTGACTCTATTTCCTTAAGATATCAAGGCTTGTGTTGGAAATTACAAGATGCATTTGAAATATTTTACAGGTAGGATGTCAGCAGCAATAAATGTGACAAAAAAGCCTTCTTAAAGAAGTGGGGAGATTGGAACATAAAAAATTACATCCTGTCATCTGGAGGATGTCTGAGAAGGCTTTTCCAGGGTTAGGAGACTAGACCTGGAAAGGCAAGCTGTGAGCCTGGAGGGGAATTTACTTCCCAGTGTTCATCCTCTCTCTCTCTCTCTCCCTCCCTCCCTCCTTCCCTCCTTTTGCGGGCCTCCACCTCCCTGCATCTTTCTCGATTTCTTCCTCTTCCCTCCTTCTTTCTTTCCAGAAGGGACATCATGCTGGCCAGTTTGGAACGGCTTGGCCACAAGGTATTGGATGGTTTGGTTCTCTTTAGAGCTATGCTGCCTGGCCCCAGAGCAAAGGTGGCCCAGGCGGCAGACCCCCTCCTCTACCACCCACACGGTCCAGGAAGCCTCCGGCAGTTTTCTGGTCTCCGGATTCAGCTCCAGCCGCCTTTTCTCACCAGATACGCCAAGTGCCTTGGCGGTCCACCGAGAAAGGGAGTATTGCGCACGAGTGGGAGGCAAAAAGGTGCCTCATTTAGTTTTCTGCGGTGGCAGAGAATAGGGGGATAGGCGAAGAGATGGAGGTATCCACTTCCTGCTTTTCTTTCCTTGCTTGTTAGGATTTCGGGAGTTTGCATTACACCGAAAGCCGGCGCTTTATTTCTGCCGACTCCGGCTGGGAGAAACCCAGCGCCCGCGGATTTCCAGCGCCTGGCTTGCTCCAGCGCTGGCGTCTCTCCCAGTTCCAAAAAGCATGTTAGTGAAGATGGGGGGGGGGTCAGAGGCGCACCCACTGGACAGTTTCTAACATTTCCCACTGACTGGCTGCCTGAGACAGGCAAGGGTGTACTTAAAACACGTTTTCTCTTTCTGCGCCTGGAGAGGGCAGATATTTTTCCAGCTGTCCCCATGATCTTTCTACCTCCATTTGTGGTAGAAAAGGAGATCCCTTCGCCACCCCTAGTCAACTGAGCTGCGGGAAGGACAGAAGAAGGAAAGCCGTCTTCAGGGACCCCACTCCTCCACTCCTAGCCTTGATGCTGCTTGTTAAAGATACCGAAGCCAGGGTGCAAAGTGGCCAGGTTCAAGGCGGTGGATTCAGACTTGGTTTCAGGATTCCTTCCCTTGTGCTAACCTCACTGGTTCCACTGCAATGGCCTCTTTTCTTGCGCGTTTTTTTTTTTTTAAACATGGTCCAGCAGGGAGGCATAGACAAAAATATTCTGGCAAACCAGTCTGCACCGGGCTTTCCCTGGCACCATGGGGATTCTCCCAGGGGAATTTAATTCCCTGCAGTCCCGCGCCCAAGGATGTAAAAATAACAGATCATCAGCAAAGTCTAAAAATATCTCTGTGATGTTTCTATCCCTCGCCCTCCCTTCCACCATCCCTCTTCCTCTCTATTGTTTATTCTCCTAACATAAACGTGTACCACTCCACAGCCTGTTCCCAGACCGGCTGACCCCGCTAGCCTGGACTCTGCACTGGGCGTCCCCTCTGCCTGTCCTTCCCAATCCCCACTTGCCTAGCTCTGGCTAGTACTCCCAACATGAATCAGCCCACGCCAAGATTTATTTTCTTTTCTGTGGGCCTCTTCGTCCCCAAATACTTTAGACTCCCAACCCATGTCCAGACGCCTCCCAAAGCCCATGAGGCCCGTAGCACGCGGGCTGAATCCGCGCGATTCCTTGGTGCGCGGCCGGCCTCCCGGGTCCTCCTGTAAGAGATCAGATAAATTGGCCTTTGTTTGAAGCTTGGGTTGGGCTAGGCTTATTTCTGCTCTTTCCCCCCTCTTTTTCCTGGCTGCTACCTCCTTGTGGGACTCAGGACGGCCTGGGGATCCGAGAGAAGCCGCATTCCTGTGGGTGCCAGGCGGCTCCAGTGCTGAGCCACAGAGCCTGAGACACACACACACAGACGAACCCACAGACCTCGCTGTCCTTGATCTCGCTTGCGCTCTCTCCCTCCCGTCGAGGCACCCACCCGGGAGCCTGTCCACCCACACTCGGATCCACCCAGAGCTCAGCCTAGGACCGGAGCATGTTGACCCTCACAAAGACACACACGCACACACCCCCTCCTGGTGACACAGGCTGGGCCAGATCTCCCCGCCCATGCCAATCCTCTCTCCCGCCCCTTATCCCACAATCCCAGACGCGCCGGCTGGCCTCCTCTGACTCCTTTGATCCCACCGGACGCCCCAAGGCTCGCGGCGTCCCGGCCGCGCCGTCCTGGGAGTCACCCACAGCGCGCCAAAGCCAGGCCACTCTTGCCTCCTCCCAGCCCGCCCTATGGCTCCCTCTGGCCCTGACACAGCTGTCAGATCTCCCCAGCCCAAAATGCACCAATGCATATTAGAACACTGTCCCCGCCCTCCCTCCTACTTCAGCGCTTCTTAGTATTCGGGTAGTGGGAACTTTAGGGCTATCTAGCCACTTTCCTCCTGCCCCATCCTCATAAACCCTTGGATAGTGCGCCTCCCCATGGCCGCTGGGATCTCGCCAACCCAGAGCTCTCCAGCCCTCCTCAGAGGCACACCCAGAGGGCAGACGCCCTCGGGCACCTCTGGGAAGCACGCCACGCCGGCGGATCCGCCTGTGGTCACCCTTCTCCACCCTTAAGCACCCCCCCTCCCACAGCGCCTGGGTGGAGGCTCTCTCTGCTCGCCTCCCGGGAGCTTGGGGAGGGGGCGCTGCGGCTTACTTGCTCCCTTGGCTCCTGTTCCCAGGTTTACCCGTGATCTTTGCACATAGTACTTGGTTTTTATCAATCCTGGCCCAGTCACAGCGAATTCTGGGCTTTGAAAATAACCCCAAATAGCGGTGGCATATGTGGGATTGGTTAAATAGATTCTATGCAGCCCTATTTCCTCCTACCCTGGCGTTTTCCTTTGCATTTGACAGGCCTTAGATTCCTCAGTGATGCAGGGCAGAAAGTATACATTGTATCTATTGCGGAGAATGGGGGCAGGCGCGGGGTGGAGTTTTCCTTTTCAATCATTCTGGGCTGCCGGCTGCAACGTCATAAATAATCTGTTTTATAGGTCGAGCTCTAACGGGAAGCTAGGAACCAGGAACATTGTAATTAATCTCTCTTAAAGGAGATAAGAATCTCCTTTTGCAGCAATTAAATCTTTCTATTCACTAGGACTGTTTATTTATTTTATTTATTATTATTATTTCATTTCCTATAGGGCATGTGTG